CCACAAAATGCAAAAGAAGTCCCCTTTCAGAAATTCGAACCCTTCGTGGCATGCCCGCGAAGCAAGACCATTACCACTACACCATGCCGCCGTAGAACGTAAGGGTTCTTCCCGGCTATTCATGCGCATGGCTGGCAACCGCGCTCGACTCCGTTTTCCTATTTTAATTCTAACAAGCCATCATAATTCCTTTCAGAGAATCGCTTTGCAAATTTCAAAGGCAGATTCGAGATCAGCGTCCAAAACCACGTCTAGTGAGCTACATCTCATTCACAAATGGCCACTTCGACCTGACGACCTTCCCTAGTTAGTATCGACGCAAGTGCTGCAGAATGAGAACGACAACCGTGTAACACTACCCTCCTATCTCATTCCGGTGCGCTTCTGAGCGGAGAAACCGGCACGCTACCGCAGCTGCGGTCACCTCGTATATGGAAAGGACGTCTTCGGCAGGGGAAAGTACGGTTTTTTCTCTGAAGACACAGTGTACGATTCCTGGGCATTGTGCAATTGCCTGAAAGTGGATGCCATTATTCTTACATGTTAGGTGCTCAGTTTCTATTTAGGCGCCATTACCGTAATCTTGTCACAACTTGCCCTTGTTCCGTGTCTTTAAAATAAATTATCTGCTCTAGCAAACTATCTTTTCAGAAATGCAATGTTGATATGGACATTGGCAATGAGACGATTAATATTGTCACCTCCGAAACATCTTTCGGCGCTGGCGACAAGTTGCACACATCTGAAGTGGATTCATTGAACTCACCTGCCACAGAACGAAGCCAGATCGCGTCACGAATGACCTTCCAATGTCCAAAGACACCGGCGAACACCACTATAGTTCTGGACACTGAAACAAGAACTACTGATACTAAGGTTAGCCGTCTATGGATCAGTCTTAATTTGGCCAGTGATCTTGAGTAATGAATCGATGGGGGGGGGTCGAGTTCGGAGTAATCTTCGCTGCGGATGGTGGGTATATCAGGGAGGCCGGGTTCAGCGCGACCAGTTTACCACCAGTAATTGCCGATTGCTCGCTTCAACAATGGGTGGAGAACAGGCTGGCATTGCGCCAAACCCACCCGCGACATGCCCCACCATCTCCAGCCAACAAGATTGGCGCACTACGAACTTTTCTTGCAATCACCACCCACTTGAACTATGTTCTGCCCACTGCAGGTGCGCAACCCTCGCGTCAACCATAATCCCATTGCTTTTCGCCCAAATTTTTCCCCTGGTTTCGCTGTGGTAAGACCAGATTTGGAGTCTTTGTCGTCAGTCCCACCTAGGGCGCGTCGTAAGGTCGAGATCATCAGCAAGGAGGGTCGTATCGTTCAATGAAGAGAGCGGATCGTATTTTGCTGACCCCCCTCTAACACAGGACATGCCCTGCGCAGACTGCCTATCGCGGGTGGGGCTCTGCAAGATATGAGTGCTCAGTACTTCTTACAGTACAGTACATTAGCTGATTCTAAATTTGAATCGGTTTGTCCTACTATTTCCGCAGTTAGTAAGAAGTTTATTGACAAGCAGCCAATCAGACAGGCGGGATTAGCGCTTCTTATAAAGTTTTTGTGGAAATTGGGACCTCAAATATTCGAGTAATTACCAGGCAAGAAGGACAGAGGGTTGTGCACACTTTTGAGTTGAGGTTTTAACCATAACTGAACCATAACTACAATTAAATAATTTTAGGACAGGACTGGAACCATAAATTTGTTTACAACGCCTGATAAGTCAATGATTTCAACGAGACCAGAGGTAGGATCTGTCATCATTGCTTTCCAAGAAAAATTAGCGTTATTCACTTTTTGCCAGTATAAAATCCAAAATGCGGCTGTTACATGCGTAGATCTTTTTAGCGCCGGAGTTATTGAGCGCTATTAAGGCATTAAAAAGACGGAAAGCGATTTTGATTGTCATAATGATTTCCAATCAAAGGCTCGAGTGAGAAGTGCTGTTCTTTCTCTCTTTCCATTTTTTAGATGTTGGATTTCCAGGATTCGGTACTGCTGAAGTCTTTTTGGGGTCCTACTAGTCCCATAGAGAAGGAAAGGCACACATCTGCCAGCTGAAGTAACGCAAAACGTTACTGAATGCGAAGATGTAGAAGTTCAACGAAGAGCAGAAGTTTCTTGCTACCCTGTTGAAGACCACTTCGCTGGCGAAGCGTTGCTGGAGAGCAAGGTGATTTTTTGATAATGATCTATAGTATGATTGTTAGATTCTAAAGTGTAAGGTAATCCTGTTCAAGAACGTGAATGTTTTATTCAATTAAAACGAGAAGCTAAGGTGATAGAGAAGTAATATAGCTCTCAGTTAATTACGACTCCTCTTTCCATTCAATGACCCGCCCAGCTCCCGGAGAGCGTTTTGACCTACTGGCACCCTCGTTTATCAACAAATACGCAGTAAAAAGGCAAATGAATGCACTAACCTCTCGCTATCTGTTTGTCATCGAGCAATCGCATTATAAGACACATGGTACCGCATCAACACAATTGAGAGGTGAGTGTACTGAGATAACAGCCCCCACAGCTGATCATGTGTCGTGGTTTCCCCGCCCGAAACTGCCGGCTTTAGAGTACGGAGACCGTGGAGGAAGTCATAATTATTCGTCCGATGCTCCGCCAAAAATGCAAAGTTAGTCTGCGCAAGACTCACCCTTATGCTACAGCCGTCGCCGCGGCGCGTGTCCGCGTGCGAGCCCTCTGCCTATGTGCGATAGTGGCTACTTATCAAAAGCCTGAAAAGTTCCCGACCAAAAGGTCAAGACTTTCCGACTATACCCAATATTAAGAGCATTTCCATAAGGCCAACTGCGCCGAATAGACGAGGAAAGACAAAACACCTACGTTTGTATCAATTGAGGATAGTGGCTTTAGCCATATACAGAGTGTCTCCGAATTTCTATAAAGCGGCTTAAACAAGCTTGGAAATTATTGACGCAAGCGAAAACGTAACCCACAGTAACTTGACAACCTCTATAGGCTGTACCTAAGTGAACTGCCATACTTCTCTGCGATTTCGGTTATAGGGGAAACTTATTTGTAAAGGATGCCTCATGTGTTGAACCAGTCTCATAAAGCGCACCGGATAGCCGTGACTGAGTCTTCTTTCCCTTGTACACAATGGAAGAACTTTTGCGAGACCTCGCGATTGGTAGCAGTTGTTGGAGTCCTTGCGTAAACTATGCACACATCCCACTCAGCATAAAGTAGATTGCATAGCTAAAAGCAGATGAGGATAAAGATTTCGCTGTGTTATTGGTGGGACTTCGAAGCAATGCCGCTGAGTACTGGCAGACAGCCACAGTCGACACTAATCAACATCAAAACATGGATGACATGACGTTTGAAATCATTCAGAAACGCCTCTCTGCTACTCGGCAATGTGAAGAACACATAGGAGGATCAGACTACGCCAAAAGATCATGGATCTCGATCAGGGAATGCGACCGTACCCAGCTTATTTACCAAAGTTAGCAGCCTCTAGGTGTACCTCCTTTGATCCCGTACCGCATCCATTAGAAAGCAAAAATTCCGAAAATTGAGGTCTACTCAAAATGAGGTCCACCCGTTCTTTTCATTGTAATCGCCGTAGTGCTGTAAGAGAATCGAGAGTGAGAGAGCCGTGGAATCGAAAGGCTGTGCAAAAGGTGAGGCCTAGTCCTAGCCATTAATGATGATTACCTTGTAGATTGGAGGTCTCTTTCAGTGAAGGAAAATTTGGTCCGAAAAAGTTGGTCGAAGTGTGGCAGGGTTTTTTCCAACATAATAG